GATATAAGATTCATCAAAATTGGAGCAAGTTGGCCGGAGGAGGTGGCGGCGCGCGGTGGTGCGTGGTGGCGGGCGGCGGCGCTGGCGCTTGGGGAAGAAGAAGGTCACCTGGGCACTTCACGGGCGAGTCTAAGTTGGCGACCCGCGACACGCGGTTCGCCGGGCGCGAAAATAGCTTGGCGTGCGAAGTGGTGTTGACAGCTCGCAAAAACATCTTGGGCTCGCGAACAATATGGCGCAAAAGTTGATGTGGTGTGCGCGTTCGCTGGTGAAGGGATTTTCGCGGGCCGCTACAGCAACTTCGTGGGCGCGGATGAAAGTTTTGCGGACACTGGCTCGCCTGGGTGAACTTGTGAGCACAGGGGCTATTCGAGGGCGTGGCGTGAAGACTCGCGGGACACGCGTACTCGCGGGCATGGGCAAGAAATCGCGGGCGCGGGTTTTCATTGCTCAAAACAGTTCGGTCGGTTTGGCTTCTCCCACGCTCTTCAAATCATTTTCTCCGTATTTTAGAATGTGCAAATCGATATCACCACGCAATTAAAATATATATGCTCAGAATGGCTCGAAAATGGTTCGCGTGGCTCGAACATGGTTCGGATGGCTCGGAAATATCTCGGAAGTGGCTTATTTTCCCAAGCATAGTAATGATAGACCTATTCAACACCAAAAAGACAAGAAAGTACGCCGGACACAAAAACACAAAATGAGAACGAAAACACATAAAATATTATAAAATGGAGCGTCGACACTAAAACGAACCTAAAAACAATCAACTTAAACATATAAAACATAGAAAATAGCACAACAACACAATAAACACTCACGGAGATGACGAAAAAGGGCGGGTTCAAGGACGGAGGACAGCGAGATCGCGTTCAAGAAATTGAAGCAAGCCATGATGACCACTCCCGTACTCGCAATGCCTATGTTCGATCTAATTTTCGAGGTGAACACCGATGTGAGCGACATAGGAATCAAAGCGGTATTGGTGCAAGACAGCCGATCCCTAGCCTTTCTCAGTAAGGCGCTTGGCACTACTCGACTTTGGCTGTCCGTGTACGTAAAAGAGATGATCACGGTCGTGGAAGCAGTGCGATGCTGGAGGCCCTACCTTTTGGGGCGACGCTTCCAGATCGTGACCGACCATCAGCCACTCAAGCATCTGCTCGAGCAAAGGATTGTGACGCCCGAGCAACAGAAGTTTGTCTCGAAGCTCATGGGCTTCGATTTCGAGATCGTGTACTGGTAGGGCCGACAAAATGCCATGGCCGATGCGCTATCTTCGCGGACGGATGTGGCCGAGCTCGAGACCATATCCGGCCAAGATGGGTCGTGTAGGATGACCTTAAACGGGTGCAGGAAGACGATGCTCAGTGCCGAGACCTGCACCGTAGGGCCGAGGCGGGCGATACCACCATCATCAATTATGAGCAGCACAATGGGCTACTGCTCTACCGAGGCCGAGTGTTCGTGCCCAATGACGGAAAAATCCGCGAGGGAATTATGCAGCATTTCCACAACTCCAAAGTTGGCGGGCACTCGGGATTATATAGGACTTGGATGAGGATGGCCAATACCTTCTATTGGCCGGGGCAACAGGGCGCGGTCCGAGACTACGTCGCACACTACGACGAGTGCCAGTGGACTAAGGCAGACGCACGATGACTGGGCGGGCTGCTGCAACCATTGCTGGTGCCCGAGAGAATTCGGGAAGATATCACCATGGATTTCATCGAAGGACTACCACTTTCAAATGGGTTCAATGGAGTAGTGGTCGTGGTGGACAGGCTTACCAAATACGCGCACTTCGTACTGCGTACGCATCCGTACACGGCAAGATCCATCGCTAAACTATTCATCGAGTATATAATGAAACTATAGGGAGTGCTGCGCTCGATTATCTCTGACCGTGACCGAATTTTTATGAGCAGCTTTTGGTCGGAATTTTTCAAGCTGCAAGGGACCGAGCCGTCGATGAGCTCGACGTACTACCCGCAGACGGACGGGCAAACAGAGGTGACCAATCGCACACTCGAACAATACCTGCGGTGCTATGTGCATCAGCTCCCGAATAAGTGGGAAAACTTCTTGTCGTGGGCCGTGTATTGGTACGATACCACTTACCATAGCTCGACCAAGGCCACACCATTCGAGCTCGTGTACGGCTGAAAACCCCCTACGCTGATGATTACTCAGAGAGAAGTGCGATCAACGACGAGGTTAACCGAGAGCTTATGGAGCGAGATTTGATGATAAGGGAACTAAAAAAAAAACCTCGAGGGCTCGATTAACAGAATGAACGCATTTCACGTGGCAAACATCGTGAGGAAAGCTTCGAGCCCGCCGACTATGTTAACTTAAAGCTGAGGCCATTCAGGCAACGCACGACCGCGCAGAAGGCCGCGACCAAGCTCGGGGTTCGCTATTACGGGCCTTATCAAATTTTGAAGCGCATAGGTCAGGTGGCCAATCGACTTGAGCTGCCGAAAAGCTCGCATATACACCCGGTCACACACGTCTCACAACTTAAAAGAAGTTTGGGTAGACACATAAGTGGTTCGATCAATTGCCCGCGACCGTGCCGGGTGGGCAAATTATCATGCGGCCGAGCCGCGCAATCGAATACCGACAAGTCAAGAAGGTTGGCCGCTATAGTTGGGAAGTATTGATTGAATGGGAAGAGTTGGCAATAGAAGAAGTCACTTGGGAGGACTTAGACGAAATACGCAAGCAACTTCCGACTATCGTTCTTGAGGACAAAGAAGCACTTGAAGGGGACGAGAATGATGAGGATGTGGCACGACGGCTCAAGAACGCATCGAGCCGCGCATATCACGCGCGAAGGAGGTTAGCCCGGTGCGCGGCCGAGACGCAGGCGATCGCACAGGACGCGCGACCATTGGGGGACGACGCGCGCGAGATGACCGCAAAGGGTGAAGGCGCAGACATCAATCGCGACGCGGAAGCACACGCGCGGCCAACGATGCCTTAGTCCTCGAGGCAAAAGGCGACGCGCGAAGGAAGGGCCAAGGCGGCTAGGGTTTATGACTTGGTGCGCAAGGTTAGATAATTCTAGAAGATTTTAGATCGTTTCCTTGTTATTTCATGATTTCTAGATTACTTAGGGCTTGATTGTTTGAAATAATTTGTTCAAATTGAGCTATTTTGGTTAACCATAGTTAATTTTGAAAAATGTGGTATGGTTAGTTGTAGTGAAATTTTAAAAATGCATTAAAATAATATTTAAAATAAAATGACTAAAATTGATTTGATGTAGAAGTAAGAGATAAATGATTGAAAATGATTACAAATGATATGTAGTTAAAATTAATCGCCCCGCGCGCCACCACCCGCGCCGATCGTATTAGCCTCCCCGGCCCGGAGAGCCAACCTCTTGCGCGAATGATAAGCCCCGCTTGCCGCATTCTTCAATCTTTTAACCGTATCCTCATCACACGCCCCCGTCTCGTTCGCGGTCTGCTTGCTTGCGCGCATACATTCAATGAGTTAGCCTTAGGCCCTCAACGGCCTTTCGAGCCATTCTCTTGCGCGCACAATACGCCCGACTCGATGTGCTTTACAGTCTCCTAGCCACATCTTCATCACCCTTGCCTCAGTGTTGAATAAGCCCTTCTAGGCGATCCGGCGCTTTTAGCACCATCTTTATCCCCACCGTTCCCACAAGTATTTTTCACTAGTGGTTTGACATACGTGACCGAGTTTGCCTATCTACGTGTAAATCAAAGAAAAACACGTGGGGCACTTCCCGTCTGGCATCGAACTCTCTGTACGCCACTATAGCCGAATAAATGTCCTTTTCACTCCAAACAGTTCACAGCCTCATATTTGTGTTTAGGGTTTAAACATACACAAAGTTCGCCACTCAGTAAGCCGCAGGCACAACACACACACACACACACACACACACACACACACACACACAAAA